AGCTTTTGCTCTACCCCCTGCAGTCTGAGGGGCTCTCCCAGTCCTTCCTAGAGGAAGGACAGTGATGGGCATGGACCAGAAGCCCAACCAGCCTGAATCAAAGGCCAATGTGGATGAGATCAATAGGCCTCACTTACCCAGATGCCGGGTTGACACCCAGATCTGACACTCACAGTGCCCTAAACTGATGGAAGTACCCCTTACCTGCCACACCTGAAAGGGTGTTGTCACCAGGGATGCTATGCACAGGGAGCTGGGTGACAGTTAGGGAAAGAATTTAACTAAGGGCTTAGGAATCTCTTCCTGGGTCTAGGACCAAGGGGTGCTGGAAGCCTACAGGGTGACCTGCAGAGGTGGGGAGGGAGGGTACAGGTTGGCACTAGATGTGGAGAAGCCAGTAAGATGTGGGTCCAGGAGCCCACAGGACTGGCAGGAAATATGCCTCTGTATGTAAACAGTACAGATGCATTAATGATTGTGTGAGGCTCATTAGCATATCATTTACTTATCCATATACGCACATATCTGTGCATCCAACCATCTATCTATGCAGCTACACACTCCTCCAGGGTCACGCCCACTCCCATGTGCACGTGCATTTACTTCCAGATCTGCAGGAGCCTGCCGAGTACAGACAGTTCAGCCAACAAAGACTCAACAGGAACAAAAATATACCCACGTTCTTGAGTCAAAAGAGCTTGGAGTTGGGGAAGGTGTCTTTAGAGTTTGGGTGGCCTGAAAGATATGGGGTGAAGATAGACTGGATGTGGAAGGATGAGGCTGGGAATGAGGGAGGAGTCTGGGCTCCAGCTAGAGCTGAGGAAGGGCTCAGCTGGGGCTCAGCTGGGGCTGAGTCACCAGCATCTACTGACCATCCTCATCTCATTCCTTCTTGTCCCTAACTGATGGTATACCATTGTGCTGGCCACTGACCTCGAGTTCATGACCCCTCCAGGCAAGGCCAAGTGAAGAGGGGTTAAAGAGGACTCTGGGCTCACCAGCACTTGTCTATCCCCATCATTGGCTAGAGGCCTGAGAAGAGAAGAGTAAGGCCTCAAGAAAAGGAGAAAGAGAAGGTGCTGAGAGAGAGGTGAGGAAAGGAGGCGAGAGAGCACGGCAGCCAGGCAGGGTACGGCTCAGGCTGGTAGCTGGGCCTGCTCAGCTCCTCACGGCAGGGGAGGCAGTGGACAGGGGCACCTCTAGCTGCCCACATTGGTCAGAGACGCCACCTATCCTCAGCTCTGAAGCCGTGAGGGGTACTGCCCAGTATCAGCACTGAGATGTGGCACCTTGAAATACGGTGCCCTGAGCCCTGGAAGCAGTGACATGGCAATGGTAGAGAAGACTACATCCTATGCCCAAGCAAGTAAAAAGCCTTTTCCTAAGGAAAGCCCCAAACCCTAGGCCAGGGTATGGGAGGGGAGAAGAGCTGAGTCTGCACTAACCTTAGTGCCTTGCTCCAAGCACACTGAGGCCCCTGTGGGAAACTCTGGACATAGACATTCATGACTCTAAAGCACTCCAAGCTCAGACCCTTGCTCTCACAGAAACCTAAAGGATGATCCCAGCATATTCTAGAAGATCCCCACAGTCATACCATGACATGTCCATGTGAGGTAAACTGTGAAGCCACCTGAGTGCTAGACTAGCAGAGCTCAGAAGGGCATTGCAGCAGCCTGACCTATCATGATAAGCAGTTTGTAGAGGGCTAGCAGGGTGTGCAATATCCCATGGAGAGGCTTCCAAGAACTGAGGTTCTAGAAGCCCTTGTGGTTCTCTCTAGGAAGCTGGCAGGAAGAGCAAGGCAGCACAGTCACGTGTGCACAGGCAAGACTTGGGGTTTATCCCCTCAACACTATCAGCACTTCCCAAACTTTTCCCTCTTTCCTTGAGATGCCTAAACTGCAAATGCTGCATGGTTTTGCAACCCAGCAGCTCTCCAGGGGCAGTTCCTAAAAATGAGACTTCATATCTTCACAGTGTCTACTGGCAGATTCGAGAGAATCCCTAGTTTCGGGCTCCTGACGATTGGCCTTGGCTTCACACTCATAGAATCCCTTTTCTACCAGAATTAAGTCTACTCAAACCCTTAAGAATCATCCTCTACTGGGAGGTCCAGGGTCTACTGGCTGGACTCTGGCTGCCCACCCTGGCCCTCCTTGTCCCATGGGCTCTCTTGTGTTTCTTCAGGGACAGCCCAAAAGGATTAAACAAAAGAGGATGTGACACAGGTAAGGGTTCCAGGAGAGGGTGCCCGAGACAGATGGCAGGCACGCTAGCACAAGACAAGGGCCCCTGCCCCTAGGACTACAGCACATGAAATAAAGACCTTGAACCTCTGATTTCAACTCTAGGAGGCAGACAGGACCCACACATTCCCACATCCTGGGAACACGACTAAAGGGAAACAGTGCCCAACTGAGGCTGCTTCTGGGAGAAATCCAGACACCAAGCAGGAGGTCTGGAGAGAGGTCACACCCCGATAGCACAGGCTTCCTAGCCCCCAGGCAAGACAACTGACCCTTCAAAGACCACTACCCATGCTGGGCAGGGGTTGGGCAAAGATACCCCAAAGTCAAGTAGCCCACGGCAGGACTGGTGCGGAAGCAGCAGGATCACATGCAGCAGGATCACATGCAGAATGGACCTGGGATGTGGTGGTTCCTCAAAGCCACATGCCTAATGATCCTGAAGCCACCCAGTCTGCTTTCTCCCTGAAGATCCGAGGCTGTGCCCTCCCCTCCAGAAGCTCATGTGCCCATTAGGTATGTGTGAGGGGTCTGGGATGAGACATCTGAGGCTGGCTGTACAGAGAGACAGTTTGGAGTTTCTAAAGGGCAGGGCAGGTTCAACAGGAATCTGAGTAAGTCTAGAGTTTACACAGAAGGAAGGGCTACAAAGCAGGAGCTGGGTGTGGGGGTCCATTCTCCCCGAGTGTGTCCTCAAAGCCACACTAGGCAGAGCTAGACCTGTGGAGTGCTTTTCTCAGCTTCTCTGCCTCCTTGCTTCTGTAGTGGACCTGTAGGTTAGACAGTGGGTGCCTGTGGGCAGAGGGTGTTCAGTCAGAGTGAATCTTCTCCAAAGGGTAGTACTGGTGAAGATATGGTACAACCACCTATTGTTGGGAAGACCACTAGCTTTGATTCTGAGGGGGGAGAGTCTTGTGGACAGATGGGAGTCTGAAAAGTAGGGTAATGTCTGTGCTGTGAGGCCTGGCATGCATCTACATTCGAGGAACCTCCTGGGTGAGGGACCTCAGTGCCCAACTCTTAGCTGAATATGTTGGTGACTTGAAGCACAGTGCAGGGAGAAGGCCAGCAGGGGCCAAGACCTGCAGGGTCAAGCGGGGAGAGACACTGGGGAAAAAGCAGGATCCAATGAAGGTACTTAGGAGAATCAGTAAGAACCACATTGATCCATCAGGAGGCCTTTGGGACCTAGGCAGGATCAGCTCTGTAAGTTCTGGAAGTCAGGAGTGGAATGAGATTGAGTGACAGGGAGAGCCTGGCCCATTGACTGCTTAAGATACTGGGCCTGCTGACTGCTTAAGATAGAAGTGATGCCCTCTGGCAGAGCTGCCTGTTCACTGGTGATCCTGAGTAGTGCCAACAATCCTAATGTTAAAATATTGGTGGGCACAAGATACTGTTCTGAGAGTTTCTGCCTGCTCTGGTAGTTTGCCCTTCTCAGGACAATTTTAAGCCCCCTGGAAACCTGTAGCACTATAGGCTTAGGGCCTCAGCAGACCCCTTAGTCAGCATGCTGGCCTTGCAGCTCCCTAAGCAAAGCCTGGTAGACAGGCCCAGTTGCTACTGGGCTGAGATACCTGGCTCCAAATCTGTATTCCAGGAGTACCAGGAGCAGCACCCATCTAACAGGCATACACTCACTTCACACACTGGGCTGCTACAGTCCATGGAGAAGCAGGCAGGCTTTATGAGAGAGAGGGCCTCCCTGGAACCCCAGGATGAGGCTGGCCCTTCCTGAACAAATACCCTGTATGAAGCAGTCAGCGCTGTCTAATTGCTGCAACACACAGCACAGGCCTGACTGGAAAGCCTAATAGGCAAACTAGGCAAGGAAAGCAAGCAGAGCCGGTGCCAGAGCCACAGGCTAAACACACACCAGGAGGAGGCAGGAGAGGTCTGGAGAGACACAGCAAAAACGACAGGGACTAAAGGGCACAAGTCAACAGGCACAAGTAAGACAGTCAAGAAGCAAGAAAGAAGTCTTCACCAACCAGGTGCTCTGCATCTGAGCTTTCTTAATGTTCTCCCCACAGCCCACACCTCTCACCACCCTAAAGACTCATGTTCCGTTGGGGGTCACAGGAGAGCCTCTCCTGCCCATCCCATTCCAGAACTCCAGAAGAAACTGACAGGACTGAGAACCCCTGTATCCGGTCTTGCTTCTCTCATGTAGGGTTCTAGTGAATTCCACAGGGTACAGTGAAGCTTTGATCCTCCCAAACTCCTAAAAGGGCTGACCTTCCTCTCACCTTGCCAAGTGTCCCTCAATCTCACTTCCCTGACTCACTGACCCAGCTGAGAGAGAGCACCCACCCACCTCCAGATGAAGGGTCATGGGGGAAAAGCTTGTATTTAGTCAGATTTCGCCGGACTTAAATCATAAGTAACCTCCTTCCCCACCCTGCTCTATGATATTACTCATGTCCCAAGTAAGTTCCTTTCAGTGCTTTCACAAGCCCCAGGGTACCCAATAAGGCAGAGTCTAGAGAAGGATCTGGGCGGACCCCAGGCGGTGAGCACGAGTGTGGAGCAATGACTGTCTTTGGGGCTCAAAAGCCTGACTCCTCCCGGTTGGCTGGTGTGCTTTTCTGTCCCACCGAGGCCAACCGACCATGGCACACACTCACACTGAATGCATCTCTTCCCAGAGAAGGGGGGGGGGGGGCCAAAAGGAAAAGGGGGGGCTACAGACCGAGGGCATGGGCTACTCACTCACCGGACCGTACGACCAGCAAAGCCCCGGCCGCTTACCGATTTTGGCCAAGCTGGCCACCAGAACCCAGAGTGCGATGATGTACGGGTCCTGGACGTGGTGCCATTTGAACGTAACCACCTGAAAGCCCTGGTCGTGCGCATCGCCGCCAGGATCCTCCTCGAAGCCCCTCGCCCCTCGCAGCCCGCTCAGCGCCAGCGCCAGCGCCAGCAGCGGCCTCCAGCCGCGTCCCCGGACCCCGCGCCGCCACATCGCGCAGCTCAGCTCCGGGAGCGAACGCGCATGCCGCGGTGAGGCTTCGCTGCGCCGGCCGCGGCGCTCGGCGTTCAGGCCGCCGGCGACTACCCGGTCCCGGCCCGTCCGCGTAGCCTTTAATCCCGCGGCCCCAGGGCGGGGCTTTCCCGCCCCCGCCGCGCACGCGTGAGCGCGAACACCGCCGTCCGCTCGCAGCGCTCCCACCCCGAGGACCGGCAGGCCGGTGGATGTCGGCGCTCCCCGGTGCGGTCCGCTCCGGAGCCGGCAGCCGGGACGCGCGGTTTCGGAGGTTCTGGAGGTCGCGCGCGGCCAAGGTCTAGCCGGCCCGGCCCGCTGGCGGCCGCCTCCTTTCCGACGGCACAGCGCGAGCCCGAGGGTCCGAGTGCGCTCCGCCGGATGGATGGCGCCTCCTCCCATCCTGGCCCCCAGCAGCCAGCTGGTTTCGCGGTGCGCCGCAGGGTTAGCTGTTCCCTGTCTATACATTAGCACCGGATCCATGAAGACCTCACTCGAAGACCGAAGCCCATCTCCGACGGAACCCTGGAGTCTTCTAAGTGAACTTGAGGCAGGATAGAAAGATGGTAAAATTGAGAGGACGTGGGGAAGGGACGGCTTCACACTCCAAAGTCTCCTTAAGTTTTTGGCCAGGTGAGAGTCAAGAATTCCATCACAGTTAACACATGCGTGAAGGTTGCATATGTAGAGACAATATAGAGAGGTGTTTCAATAAGGAATGTTAAAATAGCAGTGAACCATGCTTAGTTTGTAGGCCTAATATGGCTGTAATTCCTTGCCCAGAGATAAGCCTTTAGTTTTCTGGGAATCTCACAAATAAGGCTACAGGCTTTGTTTACAGAAGGAAAAAAAAGTCAGACTGGTGTGATGGCACATGGCTGTAATCTCAGCATTTGGGAGGTCAGGGAAGGAGTGCAAAGCCAAGCCTTGGCTATATAGCAAGTTCGAGGCCAGGTTGGGTTACATGAGATCCTGACTCAAACAAACAGGAACAAAGAGCCCCTGCCATGCCTTAACCTTTGTGATCTGTGGCTTTACCTTATCAGTGTAATCCTATTCAGTTCATCTTAGGACCTACCATATGATCTCATTTAGGGAAAAACAAAAGATTTCTTAGCAACCCTTTAAGATGTAGCTTCAGAAGTCACCACCAAATTTGTTTGCATGGCTACTGTCAAGCCTTAAGAGTGACTCTTGAGAAGCCCACACCCATACACTTGGGTATACACTGACCTTTTCTCTGAATGCCTCTCTTTCTGTTAACTCCCCTGCTTAAATCATTAAAATCTTTGCTTAATAAACTCCAACTCTGCTTCACACTGACTTGCTCTGACATTCTTTTCTGTAGCAGTCAAGAATCCCAGCTTCACCTGAGTAGAGTTTTGGGGCTGCTGCAGGTGCTGTCTCCAACCCTCACTGCCAACTGACTCACATGCCACATTCTCAGCCCCTAAACCTTGTGCATTGTGGCCAGGGAGCCTGCCTCTCCATTGCAGCAGCCCTTACCCATGGCCTGCAATCAAAGAACATAGGCCCCCTGTTCTCCAGTGGGGAACTCAATGTCCTTTATGCCCCTGGGTGTTGGAACCCCAACTTGGTCAGGATTATGATCTAGGCATCCACTTGTACATCTCAACCCTCTGTGAGAGCAGGCTTACCAAGCCCCTTCTACCTTCCCCAGGCCTACACTGCAGCCACCATCCTTGGTATCTCCTTTTCCAACCACACGCAAGCATTGAAAGATTTTGGCTAGACACCGTTCACCTGCCCTTCGGTTCCTCCTGTTGGGATATCCAGACTAGAAGAAAGACCCAGTTATCCCTGGATTCTGCCCATCTTCAGACCCTAGCCCCTTGCTGACACCTCTCTCCCCTACCTGCACAGGTAGGCAGTATCCTCTGGGGCCTCAGACATCCCCATCCTTACCACCTTGGCACCCTGAGATCTGACTCTGATGTCCCATCCATGACCCCTCAGCTCATGGTTTTGACATTGAGCTCATGACTCCCTGCTGACTCTGCTCCTCAGCTGTTAGCTTATCAATGGATGGCCCTCTCTAAGGAATGTCACTTGGTGATGGCTGCAGTAATGTCACAGCTGACACCCAGTACTTGGAACCATGTTTCTATTGTAGGATGTGTAAATACTGAGTGGACGGGGGAATGACTGCATGAGCAATTGGTGGATAGACTTAGGGGAAGCAGGGTTACCCTTTAGCATCTAAGCACAGGTCAGGGATTCCCCAGAAGGCAGCACTGGGTTGAGTGGCTTTATTTTTGGCTCCCTGTTTCATGCTGCTTGCATAGCTGGGGGAGGTGGGGGTTGTGTGATGAGTGTGGGGCAGAGGATAGATGGCTGAGCCAACTTCAGGGCCTGGCCCAACATGGAGGCACCACAACTCTGTAATTGGCCACCAGAACTTGCAATCTAGATGCTCATCTGGTCATCTTGTACAGCAACCTTCTGAAGTTGCTTCTAATTCATGTCTCCAAGCTGAACCTGCTGCTACCTGTCACATTCCTAGCCTTCTGTCCCAGAGGAAGGGCTAGGGAGACGAGAACAGCCTTACTCCCAGCCCAGATGCTCCTGAATGAAACTTCAAGTGATGCATACTTTCTGGAGGCTGCCCTTGTGTTTCATAAGAAGGCCAGATCCTGTGATAATGGTGGCATCCCATGATGCTCAATGGCCCTTCAAGAGTTTCACCCATACCCAGCATGTCCTGATAGCTCACAGCTTGTTTGCTTGTAGCCCACACAGTTCATAAGGCAGCTGAGCTGCATTAAAATGTACTTATGAGAACTCAAGCTGAACACTGGTGCCATCCCTGGCCATCAGCGTTGTGCCACCCAAGACAAGGGGACAGCATGTCTAATGGAGGATAAGAAAACAAGGAGTGCTTACAGTGCCGCAGAGAGCACTGGGCACACTCATAACATACTACTCATTACTCAGGAAAGAGCTTGACTGTGTGGAAGGAGTTGTGAGTACTTGAGAGTGAATGTACACGTGCCCAGCGATGAGTGCTGCCCATGCTCTGATGCCTGAGAAGACTGAGGCTACGGCCATGGACAACAGCCTCACAGGTCAAAGCCGGCATAGTGGATGTAATGTTGCATCTGATCAGTGAACTGGGGCTAGGGTACAGACAGCCTCCATGTTTTTCCTCTGACCAGGCTGTGATATTAGAAAGCCTGTGACATAATATCAGGCCAGAATTGTGGTTCATACCACCCACATCTAGAAAACTACAGTGATCTGATGGCTGTTGACTCCCTCAGGCAGGCATGTAGCCTTCCTAAGCCTACCTGCAGTTCTTAGAGTTTTGCCTGTGCACACTTGGAGTGGCCATAACTATACTAGGAACTCAAATATGTTGAAACAGTACTGAAAACACTCCAAAAAGGATAAATATACCCACAAGCACCTGAGCTTCAAAATTAAGGAAATGAAAATTGAAAAACATCTAGTTCACATGGATTTCTATGACATTCATTTTCATGGTTTGTGAAAACTTGTGGATAAAGAAGCTAATAGTTTTGAATCTAGTTGTTTGTTGGCAATATATAAAAAGCAAAAAGTGAGTTTTCAACGTAATTTTCATAGGCTTGAGGACCCTTTACACATTGCCTACAGATTGACTGGCCAGGTCTGCTTAGGGAAGGAAGGTATGTGTTCATTCCAGAGCTGTTCTTGTCCCTTCTTGGGCTGTGTATTAAGGGCATGACCGACCTGGGAGCTCCTCCAGGAACCAATATTACCGTTCAGGGCAAATATATTGTTACTTTTTGGTTGCTGGTATGCAATTGCATTTCCCAGGAAGAAATGAGCACCCTGCTTCTCTGTTGGTGCCTTTGAGACCTCCTACTTAAGCCTAGGCTTTCTTAAAGCCTTGCAGAGAAGTCGATATGGACATATGGCCTGTGCTCTGCTTTGGCCTCTGCCAGGACATGCCAAGGCCATGCGGCAGACATGCAGGCTTCTGTCACAGGTGTGCAGCACTCTAGTTCTGGATCCTGGAAAAACTTGGCGTCAGGCAGGTATGTCAGAGTCAGACATCAGTAACTGAACCAATACGGGATGTTGGGGGACCCTGCTGCTAAGGCTGCAGTCCACCATGTCCAGACAGCTCTAAGGAGCTCGGTGCTGTATGGAGGACTCCCTTTCTCAGCGGGGGCTTCCTGCTCTCTGTCTGACCTTATCTAGAAAGTGCCTCCAAGCACAGATGCCTGGCCTTATTTGGGACATGACCATTGGCATAGTTACCTGCACTAAACTGCCCCCAGGATTTTTCTATATGATAATTAGGCATTTCCCTATAGATAGATGATAGGATCCCCCTACCACATGTAAATAAAGCATACTATGAACACCTATCAGGTGAAGCTTTGGCTGCCGCCTCCACCCTATATTTTTCTCTGACCCCCACTGAATAAACGAGCTGTATCACTGAAACTGACTCCTGGAAGTTCTTTTCCTTCTGTGCTCACTGGCTGTCCTAACCCCATTAGTCACCTCTGCTCCCTTTGTTCTCGTGGGTCGGTGGCCAACGGCCCACGAGGGGAGGGAGAGACCCACAACGGGGCAGCCGGATGTCACCAGTCTTAGCCTGCTTTCAGGCCTCATGCTGCCCAGCAAGGCTCAGTAGGCAGGGCTGAGACTAGAAGCCACTCTAGCTCCACAGGGATGTGAGCACAGCAGCACCCAGGTCACCATGTCCTCCATAGCTTCCAGACCAATGCTGCTGCTCTTCCACTTCTGCAGCCCAGGGCTACATGGTGACACCTGTTCCCTTCGAACACCAGAGACCCTTTCACTATGTGACTCTTCCAACTCCACTGAGCTCTGCAGGACCACCTAGGCAACTCCTCCCATTCCTCTGTCCCTTCCTCAGCACTTCCCTCCCTGAGAGGGGTGCACAGACAGGCAGGAGTGTGCATATTCCCTGGGAAGTCTCCCAACTCTCATCCATCCCCACAAGGTTTTTCAAGTTCCTTTCTTGCTAGATATGATTCCCTGGCGGGACCCGTGCCATGCTCTGTGCCCCAGCACCAGAGCTATCATTCTGTACT